GCAGGATATCTAAAGGTATTTTAGTGTATAAAGTAGAAAAATCCCAAGACATTACAGAAGTGGCTCTTCTGGAATCATTTAGTACCTTGATTGCTTGCAGCACCTTACTATTGTTATTGATTATCCAGGAGCAGTGGCAATTCTTGCACCTCAGTCTGATCTTCTCACAGAGTCTGTCAAGGATGCCATTTAAAAGTAGTGCAGAACCCTTCAAACAAGTACCTATAGAACTGGCTATGAATCGAAATTTAATTGGGACTTTATGAAATTTAGGAATTGAAAACAAAAAAGGCAACTTCATATCTTTTTCTTCTACAGTGATATTAAACTTGCTGTTAATTTTCATAAGGTTGTTCAGGATTTTATTTTTGGACTCTTTAACTGGTTCATAGGTGGCGCTTTCCAGAATTTCTTTTTTCAAAATAATACCATATAGCCTTTTACAGATGAAGCAAAAATTATTACTGGCTTGATCAATGACAATGATGAAAAAGTATTCGCGTAGTTTAGCCAGGGCAGCATCGAACTCTACTTATGTCAAAAAAGTTTTCAGAATCCTTGGGGATGAAGTTACTTAATGAAAGCTTGATTTGCCTAATTATGTGAATTTTCCATTCTAGGAAGGCAATCGTGGGAATTCCCATTTTATTCGATGTGCGCTTAATGTACTCATCCAAGGAAATCAAAAACTGTTGAAAAAAGTATTCCTTATTTAATTTTCTGTTTAGCCTATACTTGCTACCTTTGGAAATTAGATCTCTAAGCCGGACATTCTCTACAATGCCCGGGTTGCCTGTAAGAACATGCTCATGGTGTCCATCGATATAATTGCTGTAACTATTGTTGCTGCATGAGCAAGGTAAACTCTCAAGCGAATCGAGATCGAGATCATGAACAAATTGTCTGTAATTGCATACTAGCATGATCAAAGGTTTTTCCAAACTATAGGAAATTCTTGGATAGGCATCTTTCATGGGAAATTTGAATTTACATTAGCAGAAGTGAAATATCTTGTGAAAAGGATCCTTTCTGATGAAATAAAGAATCAGCACTTCATATATCTTGTTATAGACTTTTGTAAATTTAAACATTTGTTGTAGCAGCATTTATATCCTGACATTTCATCCAAAATATAGTTAAGTTCATTTTTAAACTAATTATATTGCTCCAAATGTCACGTCCGACACAGTGGACAGACCTATAACATAACCTTTTCAATAAAACATTGCAACAAGGAATTCCCAAGGTGGCATGTGTCAATATTGGACACTGTACTTAAAGTGTTTGATCAAGAGGAACATCTAGCTTCAACTCAGGAGAATAGTGCCTGGAATAAATTTAAAGACGCCAATCACAATTAAAGTGACACCTGAATGAGGTTTATATGTTAACTAAAGGGGAATTTATCGCTAAACAAGTTTCACAATTCCAGTCTGTAAGGGCGCTGAGAACGACGATAACATAGCAATGCATGCAGTGAGGGACAACACTATGTCAATGTTTGATACAGTTCAACTTGATGACACATAACACGAGGATGATGCGTTCCATTTAATTCAAATTTTAGTCAATCTCACTCCTAATTCCGTGCTTTTGATTGGTGCCATTCTCTCATGAATTGAACTTTCATTGGCCCAGCTGCAACTGTTTAAATCTAACCAGATCATTCACACGATTTTGTCCCTGACACTCAGACATACGCAACGCGAATTGATTTATTCTAAGCGGATTCTCATGTAATATTCAACATTGCCTGGACCCATCTGGGCATGCTATCGATCACGTCCAAGCATGCTTGAACTGAAATGGCGTCCTATTCGATCTTAACCTGCTCCCGCAACTAATAAATGCAGGCTGAATCATTTTCGTATCCCCCCCCCCCCAACCTCCGTTTCCAGTATTGCCACATTTTTCTATTGGATTGAGGTCTGGCGACTAATCTGAACATTCTAGGTCTTCGATTCCGTGGTACTATGACGATTAGGGGTCCATCCGCTGGGTGTGCTTCGGACCATTGCCCTGCAGACACACCACTTCTCCCGGTTCGAGCTGTTAATACTACTAACCACATCCAAAATGGTTCGCGCAGGCTGATTTTCTCTACCAACTCTTGTTGTTTTGCTGGTATGACATCAGAACACAGTTCTTCTGCCGATGGAATCATGTCATTCTCCCAGGTTTCGCTGCATTTCTCGCTGTTAACTGTCCCAACGATGAACAGCAGCTGGCCGACCGATTTTTTTTTTGCTCGTGCATCCCTACGCTATGAAGCTGTCAAGGAATGAAACCATCTGGATGAAAAGCCCCGTCCTGCATTAGAGAACTCTCGTGCGGTGATCCCAGAGGTAGATCTGGAACCTGGAATAGTCGCTCCATACCACTTGATTGCAAACTGCCAACGGTCATTTCTTGAACTCTTCCGCCCATCCGAATCGCTTCTTCTTCAGGTTTGATGTTGACAGTGACTGTACTTTGTCTTGTACGATGAACAGCCCATCATCAAGTGGTGGCGACAGTAGTAATGAGTGGAAAATAACGAAATAACGAAATATGGGAACGGTGAGCAGCTCGGCTGCTCTGCCTTAAAATAACGTCATCAAATGCTAGGGGCCTCAACAGAGCTAGCTGATCCGCTGCTAGTGGCTGGAGAAAAAGACGCGCCCACAGACTGGAATTGTGAAACTTGTTTAGCGATAAATTCCCCTTTAGTTAACATATAAACCTTGGGGGGGGGGGGGGGGGGGGGGGGGGGGGGGGGAGCAAGCCTACCATGACGTTCAAGCGACCTTGTAACTCTTGCTGTTGGTCAATTATATAGAGCTGAGCAAATTGGGGACGTTCGTTGGTAGCTGGTTGTAGGGGTCCCATGAAATGATGGACGGCGCCGCTAATACGGAACTGGTGGACACCACCAGCGAAATGGATGTCAACCTTGAGTTCTTAAGAAACAAACTGCAGTACACTGTTGTACCCCCGGATGTTCTTCATAAAATGTCTTGCTTTAGAACTGTTGCCACACAGTAGGTTGGCTAGAGGCTTTGGAGGTGGAGAAAGAGGTACTAAGGCCATCTTCCCTTTCCCACAACATAGAGTGAAAACGGGTTGACCATATCTGTTAACAAGCTTTTCATGGTGCCACATCAACGCGCTACAGAGAGTCAGTAACGGTCCACGCGGCCTAAGTAATACGGCCGAATGTGAGTCAAAAGATTTCCTGCTGCAGATCTGAAGGAGTTATGGAGAGGCTGAGCGCGCGTTGTTGACGCCCAAAGGCGTCAGCTTCTTCACGCTGTTCTTGGGGTGTCAGTTCGTACGCCACGTTCTTCTTGACGTCGTCGGGGAATTGCTTCTTGAAGCTGTTCTTGAGGCATAGCAGTCCGCAGTTGACTTCGTTGGATATTGGCTTCCTCACGTTGTCCATGAGACATGACCGCCTGCCGTTGACGTCGTTTAGCGTTGAATTTCTCACGTTGATCGTGGGTTATGGCAGTTCGCTGGTCGCGTCTCCTTGCATTGACGGCTTTAAGCTGCTGTGCGGACATCACGACCCTCCGCGCAGGGTTCGAAACTGAGGTGGCTTCTTGTTATTCAGAATTCATGTCTCAATCAGGCTTTTCTAAGTTGAAACATGAATGAAGAAAAACGATGAAATGGAGCATAGCAAATGCTGAGGAAGGAAGGCTATACATGGAGGGGTTAAGTTCCTGTAGGCTTGCGCTGAGTGAAAATGAAGGGTAGCCTATATCGGAAACTAAAACTTTTTGTAGACTAGAACATGTCACGGACAACCGCCAACGCCGCCACCACGGACCACAGTTGAATTTATTATATTGATGAGGCTACTCGAACCTTATGATGTGATTTTGGTCTCAGTTGACCGAAGTATACGTTTCCAGTCCTCCATGTTCTGTTTGCTGCGTGATGGACGTGGTGACAGCCCAGCGAGGCCCTCACAGAGCGGTATGTGGACGGGACACCCGAATATGGTCGAGGCACCCTGATGCTTTCGGGACGTATCACGGCCAAGGGAGTTAGAATGGCTGTGAAATAGTAGTAAGAATTGATGCCAAGCTGTATATAGCAGGACAATGGTCCGAAGCACACCCAGCGGATGGACGTCATAGAACCACGGAATCGAAGACATAGAATGTTCAGATTAGTCGCCAGACCTCAATCCAATAGCAAAAAAGTGCGGTAACACTGGAAACGGAGGTTGGTGGGAAATGAAAATGATTCAGTCTGCATTTATCAGTTGCGGGAGCAGGTTAAGACCGAATGGGACGCCATTTCAGTTCAAGCATGCTTGGACGTGATCGATAGCATGCCCAGACGGGTCCAGGCAATGTTGAATATTACATGAGAATCCGCAAGAATAAATCAATTCGCTTTGCATATGCCTGAGTGTGAGGGACAAAATCGTGTGAATGATCTGGTTGGATTTGAACAGCTCCAGCTGGGCCAATGAAAGTTCAATTCACAAGAGAATGGCACCAATTAAAAGCACGGAATTAGGAGTGAGATTGGCTAAAGTTTGAATTGAATGGAACGCATCATCCTCGTGTTATGGGTCATCAAGTGGAACTGTGCGAGACATTGACGTAGATTTGTCCCTCACTATATATCTGGAGATCTGTGGATGAGGTAATTAATTGATTAGATTTTTTTTTCGATTTCCCTACGTGTATGCCGATTTTCGTCAAAATCCGAATTAGTCGAGCTCACTCACTGGTCGATTTGGCGTTGAATGATTCCAAACTTAAGATATGCATCTTATTAAACGTGATTTTGTGCATTCTCAATATTGCATTTACCACGTACAGTATATTACTGTGCGAGAAGCTCAATCTGTTTTAGCATGTATTTGTAGGATAACATTGCAGATTCATGCCTGGACTATCTGAGTCGTCCTTTCCATAAACGATTCGAAGAAGACAGAAAAAAATTGATAATCAGTGAAATCCAAGCTTTACTTAATACCGACATGCGTTTCATTAGCATTTACTATATTACCCAAACGATGAGGTGACCAGTGGTTTCTTGCTCCAAACAACAACGATGGGAACATAGAATTGTTCCATGAGAGAAACTCTTCAAGTTCGATCGGGACACTCCATTGAAATCTTTGTTCATTTTTTGCGTATGACGGTAAAACCGCGATTCAAATATTACTTGAAGAGCGCCTTTTTTTTAAAAGGGAACCATACAGTTTTGTGGGCATTTTGTCCCACAGATCTGTAGGGTGCCCTTTTGAAAGTCGATAATAAAATAGGGCTTCAGTCTGCTTTTGGAGGGATTTAGTGTTCTTGATGCCTGTCATGAGGAATATTGTTTTTGTGTTGCAAGTATAAAAAAAGCAAAATCGTTTTCTCTTTCTCAACTATATGCAGCATTATGAAATAATTTTTGCGTTTTAATGTATATGTGGATATTATTGCTGGTACGGAAGACCTCATTTTTGCAAAGTTTTCAGCTGCTAATTCCAAGCTCCAAGATTCAACGGCTATGAAGTCATGCTTGAATTAATTAGAATATGGAATGATGTAAGGTGTCCCTCCACGAAAATTAATCTTTTCAGACCAAAAATGTACTTTACATTTTTTTCTTCCTGTGAGAGCCTGGAAGTAATGTCCATAATTTGTCCCACCATTTTTGAGGCTTATAGTGGACATCAGAATCTGCTGAGTTTGGTGGATCAAAATGACCAATATCCAGTTCATCAAGCACATCGGATGGGTTGAAGCTCTGAAGTTCCATCGCAAATTCCGCATTCTCGCGTGCTGCTTGAAGATACTTGATCCTCTGGCTGCTGCCAGGTTGCTTGTCATATTTCTCGTTAGATATCAATATATCGATGTAATCTGTGAATTCCAAAGGGTCGGGCTTCAAAGCTATTTCATCAAGCCTGCGCTTGCATGCATGCGCCTGTTTTGTTAGTTGTAAAACTAATTCTCTGTTTTGATTGAAGCCTTTCGTTAGTTTTTTAAGAACACGTTCATCGTACGAATGGATCGTACGATTTGGATGGGAACATCTGGCTCTGGAATTGTCTGCTTCTTCTTCCTCTTCCTCTGAAGAGACCGAGCTTGCATATACGTTCAACTGCTGCCCTCCGTGATGCCTCACTGCTGCATGAGCTTCCCTCAATAGTTCCAATCGATCCAGAGCTAATGACAGAATACAGCATTAGAAATTGGTTGAATAAGAGGGGAAAAAAGGCATTAAATATATTACAGTACTTTACCTGCATCCAATTGAGACTTGATGCTCTGGAGCGTTTCCTCCAAGGCGCGCCGTTCATTCAAAACTTCCTTCGTTAACGTCAGGCTCACTGCATTAGTGTTTTCTAATTCCCGAAAGAATTCCTTGAAGCTTGTAATTCCCATTTTCCAATATGCTTTACCAAATTCGTCTTCTTTGTTTTGAACAAATAAAGCGGAATTGTTAAATTTGAACATCTTTCGGCATGGAATGTTTCCCTCTTTTACGGCGATCATCACTGGCGGCGTCTGATTATCGGAAAAATTTGCCAGCAGGAAAATGTTGTCTTTGACATCGTTTCCAAACACTGACAGTACACAATCAAACACGTACTTTTGTGTGGGCGTGAGCCTGGCTTGGGAAGATTGGACTACGAAGCCAATTCCATCAAGTTGGTCAACTCCCAAGTGTCCGTCATGAGAGAAGAACTCCCGGATCTGATTCTTCAGCTCATCATCTTTTTTTATTCCTTCAGTATCGCCAAATCCTGGAGTATCAATGACTGTCAAGGTGTAGGGAAAAGCCATTCCTTGCTGCTTAGTTAGAACATATGCTGAGATCCACTTGGTCTGACTATGGGCTTCAGTCTTCCCCGTTTTTTCCTCGTCACAAGCCAGTTTGAAGCGGAAATCGTCGGTCCACTTCACTCCATAGGCGTAATTCGCGAATCCATGGATGAGGGTACTCTTTCCTTCAAACAGAAAAATCTTCATTTTTTTTAATTGTACGTCTAAACAAAAATTGTTGTAAATGAACCATACCTGCCCCTGTGGTTCCGACGAGCATGAGAACCTTTCCTACTCCGTCCTCAGGACTTCTGTTGCCGATCTCCTGTTTTTGCACGCGATTCTTAAAGTCGCCCTTCGTTTTCATCGGCTGTAGTTCATATATGTATCCATCTTTTGTGTCACAAAACTCCTTCATTTTCTCAGCCAGACGAACCTCTTCCTTCAATCTTTCAAACTCCTTACCAAAAAAGAATAGGTTTACATGAAATTCCACGTAAGGAAAAGGAGACATGCCAGTATACATTTTTTTTTTTACCGCCAGCAAGAAGGGGAAAAGGCATTAGGCTGAAACTGGGTGGCATGGAGTTCCCTGAGTCTACATTTCAAAAGGAAAAAAAAAATTCGTTAAAACCCATGAGGGCACTTTTCTTTAAGTCTGGTTTTCCTGAATTTTTTATTTGATCCAACGAAACAGAGACAGGACATTTAAACTTCCCTCAGAAGCACCTGTTTGATGGCTGAGTATAGGAAAATATGCTTCCTTAGCGTACATTATAGGAGGGAAGTATTTCAAAAACCCTTACGAAAAGGGACGCATGTAAAGATTTCAAGTTAGGCACACTAGAATTATTAGAAGTAATGATTTCGACAAAAATCATGACGTTCGTCCCCATATATCACGTATTTCCATGGGGATGTCCTTTAAATACGGGTTTCCCATTTCGTAAAGAATAAATGAATTAATCACTTTCCAAAGTAATGGAGCGCCGAAGGCGCGACTATAGCGAGTTTGTTTGCCCGAAGGACAATGAACTCGCTAGGACTGATATAGAAGGTGTGTACCAAAAGTATCCGAACGTTTTCTATACAGACAGTATTAGTGGCGCCATTTGTTGAAAGAAGGTGGCGTTCTATTGGTTGAACCTTCATGTATTACTCTGTTGAGTTTGGTTGGGCTAAGACGAATGAGTCATTGCCTAGGGCGCCAAAAGTAACAGTACCCATATGACACTCGTCGAGCAATCACCATGGAGCAGAGAGCTAACATCAAATTCAGTGTAAAATTGGGGAAAACATTTACGGAGACGCTCGAGATGTTGCGGAAGGCTTATGGGGAATAATCACTATCACGTACAACATTTTACGAGTGGTATGCACAGTTTCTGAATGGCAGAGAATCGTTGGAAGACGATGAACAGAGCGGGCGCCCTTTGACCAGTCGAACGGAAAAAGCAGTGGAAATAGTGCGTGATTTGATCAAAAGCGACCGTTGCATGTCCGTGAGACTCATTGAGGATATCATAGGTATCAGCAAATCACAAGTTTACCGCATTTTGACCGAAGATTTGCAGCGGCGAAAAGTCAGTGCGCGATTTGTTCCGCACTCATTGGACGACGATAAAAAACGAGCCAGAGTGCTGCATGCCCAAGACATCATTTCAATCGCCGATAATAACCCAAACTTTTCAAAAACCATTGTAACTGGCGATAAAACATGGTTTTTTCAATATGAGCCACTCATGAAGCGCCAGAGCTCAGTTTGGAAGACTCCAGAAGAACCAGCACCAAAAAAAGTGCGCATGCAGAAGTCAAAAGTGAAAACAATGCTAATCACTTTCTTTGATTCGGCTGGGATTATCCACAAGGAGTTCGTTCCAGAAGGCCGGACGGTAAATGGTGAATACTACGTGTACCTCGCCGTTATGAAGCGTTTGCTGGCCAGAATTGTTAGGGTCCGTCCCCTATACCAAGCACCAGGCAGCTGGTCTCTCCTCCACGACAATGCTCCGTCTCACAGGTTCATCATTGTGCGGAACATTTTGCCCTCTAAAGGAGTCGTAGTGCTCGACCACCCGCACTATTCGTCTGATTATTTCCTTCACCCTGTGATTATTTCCTTTTCCCCAAACTAAGAATGAAGCCGAAAGGAAAGCGTTTCGACACGATTTTGGACATCCAAAAGGCTTCGACCAAGGTTTCTTTCCGCCATCTCGGAGGATGACTACCAGAGGTGTTTCCAAAACTTGTATGATCGCTGCAAAGCCTGCATTTCTTCGGAAGGGACGTATTTTTAATAATCAATAATAAAAATTATAAATATCACATGGGAAATTGATTTGTAACTGAAGTTTGGATACTTTTGGGACAGACCGTGTATATAGACGATCGTGACTGACTGACTGGCTGACGCTAATTTAGTAATAGAGCGCCGAAGGCGCGACCATAGAGAGTTTGCCCGAAGGGGAAACAAACTCGCTCTCTCTCTCTCTATATATATATATATATCTAATATAGATTGAATAGAAGAAGACTGTAATGTTCCTCCCAGCCAAAGCCACCCCACGGCAACAGGCAGGAAATGCCCAGCCTCTAGCCCAGGAGAAGAGGGCAGAAAACCATTGAATCCTGGAAATAATTAGCGAGTTCATTGTCCTTCGGGCAAACAAACTCGCTATAGTCGCGCCTTCGGCGCTCCATTACTTTGGAAAGTGATTAATTCATTTATTCTTTACGAAATGGGAAACCCGTATTTAAAGGACATCCAAAAGGCTTCGACCAAGGTTATTTCCGCCATCTCGGAGGAAGACTACCGGAGGTGTTTCCAAAATGTGTATGATCGCTGCAAAGCGTGCATTTCTTCAGAAGGGACGTATTTTGAATAATCAATATTAAAAATGTTAAATATCACATGGGAAATTGATTTGTAACTGAAGTTCGGATACTTTCGGGACAGACCTTGTATATTCCATGACTGCCTGGGAATGTGGAAATTCTAGGACAATTACATCGGTAGGTCACTAGTGGAAGATGACGTCGCTAATATGTCGTTCGGAACATTCTCACGCGCGGTCCAATACTTCCCGCTTGACACGCTGCAACATCGCGACAGCCGCAGAGGCTACTTTTTTTTTCCTTTTGCAACCTGATGCATGCTACGGCCTGCCTCCATCGTGCCAACAAACCGATCTCGATCGAACTTGTCAAGTTGGCAAAACTGTATTCGTGGACGTCGTCCTGACACGGCTTCAAAGATGAAAGGTAAGCGATTGAAGCAAAGCGGTGTGGTTGGAGGGAAGCAAAAGGGAAAACTGGTCTTATCTGTGCAGTCGCCCCATCTCTCCGGGATTCGGCTAGCTCGGCAAGTTTTCCCTGCATGTGTAATCCTATGGCCTTGAAATTTTCCAAAACCTCCAATGTTCCTGGGTCCGCGGAGTGATCGGCCTGTACTGCTTATAGAATGACGACGGCAACACGATCACCATCCGTGCTGCTCGCTCCGTCCAAATTTTGCAGTCGTTTTCTATGCGTGGAGATTTGTCGACGTAGCCTTCCTCCTGGAATTCAGTTCCAGCAGGATGGGACGAAAGCCCTCAGTGCCCGGATGAACATGAATGTCCTCCCCAGAATCGTTCCTGGGCACGTGATATTCAGATTTGGGGATCTTAATGTGTCATCGCGGTCGCCGGACCTAACACCTCCTAATTTATATTGCATGGGATATCTTAAGTGCAATGTGTGCAACACACGCCCTGCAACCTTGGAGGCTTTTGAATATCGTAAACGGGAAAAAAGTCACTGCTTTGCCCGTCGCGATGTTGCAACTTGTCATGCATGATGTAGAGGACCGTGGGTGAAAATGTGCCGGGCGCGATGGTAGCCACCTTACTGACGTCATTTTCCAGAATTAACCTTCATATGTGATTTTCCAAGAATTTCCACCTGCCCAGAATGGCATGGGAACATGTTTTATTATGAAGTAATTTTTCATGAGTCATTTATTTCCTCTTAAAACCATGGATATGTGTATATATTCACCAACGTGTATAACGTGAAAACCCCCAGATAAAATATGCAACTGGATGGCTTGAATATAGGAAGAGACTTTACATTTTTATCAGAGGAACTTCCGAAAAGGACATACAAAGTACAAGTCAATTGAACAGGTTTCAAATATGTTAATATTTTGGCCATTGATTATTTGCTAAAATCTCGAATGAAGTGGTCACAACTAACTAAAATGAAAATAAACTCACAGGTTCATTTGCCAATTTCATTGCATCGACGATAATGGTCTCATTCAGAGTTTGACGACGACGTGGTGCAGGTTTGGGTTTCCAGAGTCTTGACTTCATTTCAAAGTCTGCCTGATGTGGTTGTGATGTCCTTAGATCGCCCTCATCATCTTGATTCATGTTTTTCTTGGTGTCCTCAAGTGCTCTCACAATATGCTGTATATTGTCACATTTCTGTTGTATGCACATCTTCAATTCCCTTCTTGTTCGGCGGAGATTGATATTAGTTTTATTGAGTAACGTTTTACACTGTCCGCTCAGAAGGTCATGATTCAATCCACAACCACCACAAGTTCCCTGGATGAATTCCGCACAAATGTGCATCTTGAGGCATTCGTATTGATCGCAACCTCTTCCAAGGTTATAGTCCTCACATAGATCAGGAGATACAATATCCGGTTTGAGATGCTTCTTCATTTGCCTAACATGTTTTATTCCTATATTACTGCCCCCGAGGACTATATTGTTGTGATCTGTGTCGATGTCATGGCCTATCTCGCATGTTTCATCTTTGCATAGTCCAAAAATAAATTTCGGACAAATGTGGAGGAGTTGACATCGGCTTTCTCTGCAACCGCTGGTACTCACGTGAGCATCACATATATCGACCTGAAAGTGGCGCAAATAGGTATGTTTCAGATCATACCTAGGAAAACATTTTTCAATTATATTGATATCAGAAAACAAGTTTTAGGGGCAAAATGATGATATTTTTGCTAAGGTAACACGTACCATCCGTGCAATATCTGGCTTTCCGTGCAGCATGTACCCATGTTACCCATTACAATAAAATATTTTCCTAGACCAAATTTTTTTTAAAACTCCCTTTTGATGGACAGACGACATTCCTTACGGAATATTCAAATCTAGCAGAGGTATCCGGAGTTACAGAAGTGAATAATGTAAATATTCCATGTTTGAGGATTCTATATGGTTTTATTGACACTTTGGCCAATTGTCAATTTGGCAATATAGTTTCTAATACAGTGAACTCTCAATAGCTCGAAATTCGAGGGAAACTTTAGTTATCGAGAATTCGAGTTATAGAGGTTTCTTAGATTCTATACCCTACCTAACGGTTCATTCATGTATACATCAATGCAAAATGTGTAATTCCTACTCATTTTAGCAGAAAGGCTTAAAACGTGAAAGAAAGAGTTCGAGATTTTTTCACGGCACCTTCTCGTTTGACGACGATATTTTCTGAAAGCGCGATTGCTTCGGAAGTATATTGTGGCTAACCGGAAGTGACCTCAACAAAGTTCTGCAAAGTTTCAATAGCATTTGCTTGTAGTCGTTGTTGACGGCCACGTTAACGGTCACTCACTGTTTGCTGATAGCAGGGTACAGTTCTGATGAGGTGCAGGCGCAAAGACCTCGTGACACATCGCCGTCTTCATTTTCCAAACTGATCAGGGTGGGAACCGAATGCGTGAATCAACTTATTCTTGGGATAACTGAATCTGCTGGATGTGTTGTTACAATAATAGGTCATTCCTGATAAAGTCAACCAATTTAAGTTTAGAATGGTGCCAGACATTCTCAGAATTCGGGATAAGATCTCCAAGACATTTGAAGTGACTAGCAATCCAGTAATAAAAGAAGAATCACCTCATTCGGATTTGTGGTTGGCGAGATATCGGCCAGGAACGTTTTCCTTAGCAATTTTCTGAGGCGTGGAAACAGGAAAAAATCATACGGGGAGATGTCTGGGGAGTACGGAGGATGTGGAAGGACAACAGTGCTGCGTTTCGTCAGCTTCTGCTGCACGAGTACAAAGGGACAAAGATCAATACTTGTGTGTCACTCCCCACTCGGTAACGCGTATGTCCTCCACGTGCAGCAATGCATACTGTCAAAACTGGTGCACTTCCTGTTGTGGGATCTGGCGCCAATGGGCCACCAGTCTCAGCTCCAGTTCGTGCAGCGTCGCACGAGGGTCCAGACAAGGATCACAGATGTGACGGCCTAGGTTGTCCCAGAGATGCTCGATTGGAGGAAGATCTGGGTGCGGGCCGGCCAAGGTAGGGTTGGTACGTTGGCACCCTGCAGGAAGTTGGTGGTGACTCGGCATGTGTGGGATCTGGAGTTATTGTGCTGAAAAGTGCTGGCTAGAACATTCTGAAGGAAGGGCACCAGTACTGGCAGCAGGATTTCATCCACATAACACTGGCCAATAAGATTCCCATGAATGACCGCAAGTTGAGATCGGCCGTTGAGGCTAATGACTCCCCATACCATGACGCTACCTAAACCATAACGGTCATGCTTCGAAATACACGCCTCTAGGAACCTCCTAGTCGGCAGGCGACGGAATCGAATTCGCCAATCATTGAAGTCTAAGCAAAAGAGGTGTTCATCTGAGAAGACAATTACCCCCCACTCTTGAATCCCCAGTTCTGCCGAGTACGGCACCAATTTAGCCTGGTCTGACGATGGACCTGTCCTTGGGGGATCCTCATGGCAGGTCGTCTAGACCGAAGTTCCAGCTGAATTACATGCCGGTACACAGTCCTCAAAGAAGTCCTTTGGCCCGTTCTGAGCCACAATGTGCATTCCATGAATATAGGTGAAAGCGAATCGGGCTCGGAGAAACTACATACTCAAATACAGGTCATCTCTGGGCGTCGTAAAGCGAGGGAGGCCTGATCCTTGCCGTTCATGGTTGGACGCATTGTGATACTGAGTCCACCAACACCGCACAGTAGCCACGCTTACACTTAGCCGATGCGCAACCTGATGCATGCTACGGCCTGCCTCCATCGTGCCAACAAACCGATCTCGATCGAACTTGTCAATTTGCAAAACTGTATTCGTGGACGTCGTCCTGACACGGCTTCAAAGATGAAAGGTAAGCGATTGAAGCAAAGCGGAGTGGTTGGAGGGAAGCAAAAGGGAAAACTGGTCTTATCTGTGCAGTCGCCCCATCTCTCCGGGATTCGGCTAGCTCGGCAAGTTTTCCCTGCATGTGTAATCCTATGGCCTTGAAACTTCGCGCCATTGTATTAAAGATCTGTAGAATTTCCTGTTTCGCATTTCATTAATAAATCCTTCTAGGGGTGGTATCCACAAACGAGCATTAACTTAATTCGGAATTAACCTAATTGGGAATTAACAAATGCTGAAGGTTACCATTATACTTTATCTGCATTCACAAACTAATGCTCAAATTCACATTTGTTATTGCTTTATATTAAATTCGATTCAATAGTTGTGGAACCTGTCGCGGTCATCCGACATCCCTTTTTCAAGGTGGCGCCTATCATCGCGCATGCGTGAATCATCCCACAGTGACTTGAAAGTGACTTTGACTGAAATCTACCCACTATGGATGAAAGTGGCAATAAGCAATGGCAAACAATTTTTTCAGTTTATGAAAATACGTACGCATAAGATTATCTGGGCAAAAGACAGCAGCTTTTATCACCCAGAAGAGTCAACCTTTGCCTTTGAGGTCACCATGTTCCAACCGAGCCTTCAGCCTTGAATTTGAAATATCCTCCTGTATTGTATTAGCTAACGAATCACAATACTGCGGACCTTGTCGTGACCAACTATGACTTGACAATCAACATCGAGGCTTTAATTTATGTACACTTCTGCCAGTGGAAAATGTGTAAGTCTCAAAGGCCCAAATGTTGAAACCTCTTTTAGTTTGCTTTTAGTTTTAGTTTAGTTTGCGAATCCCATCGTGATACGTCGCAAGACATATTTACAAAAAAACATTCCCCCCAAAATAAGTACCCCCAGAGAATGGACCTCCAATGTCGGATTTTTTCTGAACTCTGCATCGCAAAATGTACATATGTACCAAGTTTCAGATTTCTAACGTTCCTAGAAAATGGTTAGAATTAGCGTCAGTCAGTCTGTCACGATCGTCTATGTATCTAACTAGCGAGTTTGTTTGCCCTTCGGGCAAACAAACTCCCTATGGTCGCGCCTTCGGCGCTCTATTACCTTGGAAAGTAATTATTTCATTTATTCTTTTCGAAATGGCAAACACGTATTTGAAGTACGTCCCCATTGAAATACGTGACATATGGAGTCGAAAGTCTTGATTTTCATCAAAATCATTACCTCTATGATTATATGTGTGCCTAACCTGAAATCTGTCCTTGTGTCCCTTTTTCTAAGGGTGGAGAATACATTTTGAAGTACTTCCGTCAAATAATCGACGCTAAGGAGACATATTTCAAAATTAGGATTTTTCCCCTACTCAGCCATCAAATAGGTACTTCTGAAAGTAGTTTAAATTTTCTGCCTCTGAAAAAAAAGAGGAAAATGGGACTGAAAAAAGTGGTCTAATGGGCTTCCAAGAATTTTTTTTTTCTTTTGAAATGTAGACTCAGGGAACTCCATGCCACTCAGTTTCAGCCTTATACGTTTTCCCTTTTTGCTGGCGGAAAAAAAAGTATTTGGAAAAGCGACCCACCCAAAAGCTGTGCTCTGAGGAGACGTATAAAGAAAGTTGACTTTTTCCTTAAATCAACATCACTTCAGTGATGCGTGCGCCAGCTACTTTTTTACATCTGCCCAGTGAACTACATGCTAACAAAGTAAATTTTATATTCTGGCGAAAGGACTCTATGGCAGTACCTTTTTCAAACTCTTCTAATGGTTCCATACAGTTGTCTATGAAAAAACCGTATAAACCATATATGCAGCCTGTATACCTTCCCGTTTTGTTGAAGT